CAGATTCTTTGTAGAGGTATGATAATCTGTGGCATTTTTTGTCACTTGGCTCTACATTTAAATAAAATGCAGGGGGCCTTAGCCAGAACAGTCAGGCAAACAAAAAAGGCATTCAGATTGGAAAGGAAGAAGTAAAGTTGTCTCTTTTTAGATGAGATGATCTTATATATGAAAATACCTGAAGACTTATCCAAAAATTATTAGAACTAATAAGCAAATGCAGTGAAGTTGCAGGATATAAAATCAGCGTACAAAAATCATTTGCATTTCTGTATACTAACAATGAACTGTTTGAAAAAGAAACTATGAAAACAATTTCATTCATAATAGGATCAGAAAATAAAATACTTAGGCATAAATTTAACCAAGGAAGTAAAAATCTATATGCTGAAAACTATAAAACATTGATTAAGGAAATTGGAGAAGATATAAATAAGATATTCTATGTTCATGAATTGGAAGAATTAATATTGTTAAAATATCCATACTACCCAAAGTGATCTACAGATTTAATGCAACCCCATCACAATTCCAGTGGCATTTGCTATGGTTTGGATATTTGTCCCCTCCACATCTTGTGTTGAAATTTGATCCCAGTGTTGGAGGCGGAGCCTGCGGGAGGTGTTTGGGTCATGAGGGTGGATCCCTCATGCATGTATTGGTGCTGTCCTCTTGCTAATGAGTAAGTTCTCCCTCTATTAGTTCACAGGAGAACTGGTTGTTTAAAAGAGCATAGCACCTCTCCCCTCTCTCACCATGTGACATGCTGACTCCTCTTCCCCTTCTGCTGTGATTGGAAGCTTCCTGCGATCCTCAGATTCATGCTTCTTGGACAGCCTGCAGAACTGTAAGACAAATAAACCTTAATAGAAACAACGATTCTAAAATTTATATGCAACCATGGAAGGCCCTGAGGCCAAAGCAGTCTTGAACCAGAAGAACAAAACTGGAGGCATACCACTACCTGATTTCTAAATATACTACAAAGCTATAGTAATCAAAATAGTATGGTATTGGGATAAAATAAATATGTAGACCAATACAACAGAAAAGAGACCCCAGAAATAAATCCTTCTGTTTACAGTCAAATGATAGTAGACAAAGGTACCAAGAACACATAGTGAGAAAGGGTAGTTTCTTCATAAATGGTTTTGGGAAAACTGCTTTCCACATGCAGAAGAATAAAACTGGACCCTTATCTCATACAATATAAAATTGAACTTAAAATGGATTAAAGACTTAAACGTACAGTTTCAGGTCTTAAATGTAAGACTATTAGAAGAAAATGCAGGGGAAAGCTTCTTAACATTTTTATCGGTAATGATGTTTTGGATATGACCCCCAAATCACAGGCAACTAAAGCAAAAATAGACAAATAGGGTTCTATCAAACTAGAAAGCTTCTGCACAGCAAAGGAAACAATCAGCGGAGTGAAGAGACAACCAACGGAATGGGAGAAAATATTTTAAACCATATATCTGGTAAGGGTTTAATATCTAAAATATAAAGGAACTCAAGCAATTCAACAGCAAGAAAACAACTCAAAGGACTTGAATAGACATTAAAATGGGCAAAGGACCTGAATAGACATTGCTCAAATGAAGATATACAAATGGCCAACAGGTATATGAAAAAACACTCAGCATCACTAATCATCAGGGAAATGCAAATCAAAAACACAGTGAGATATCACCTCACACCCGTTAAAATGGCTGTCATCAAAAAGACAAAGGATAGCTGTTGGCAAGGATGTAGAAAAGAAGGATGCCTTGTACCCTGTTGGTGGAAATGTAAAACAGCCATTATAGAAAACAGTATGGGGATTCCTCAGAAAACTCAAAATATAAATACCTGTGATCCAGCAATCCCACCTCTGGGTATATATCCAAGACAAATGCAGTCAGTATCTCAAAGCAATATCTCTCTGCTCTTATGTTCACTATAGCAGTATTCAGGAGAGCCAAGATATGAAATCAATGTGTCTGTCTGTCAGTGGATGCATGGATAAATTGTAATACGCATGCGTGTACACACAGAATGGAGTATTATCCAATCTTTAAGATTTTCCAGATAATAAATCTGGAAAAATGAATGAATGAATGAATGAATAGGGATGGGTTAATCTGCCCTTATTAACTCTTGCCCTGACATTTATTCATAAAAATAGAGCTCTTTAAGATTCTTCATTTTAATTGGTGTAAATTTAAGGGGTACAAGTGCAGTTTTGTTACATGAATACATTGGATACTGGTAAGATCTAGGCTTTTAGTGAAATTATTACCCAAATAATGTACCTTGTACCCATTAAGTAATTTCTCATTCCTCACCCTCCTCCCACCCGTGCTGCCAAGTCTCCAAAGCCTACTATTGCATACGCTGTGTCCATGTGTATACATTATTTAGGTCTCACTTGTAAGTGAGAACATGCAGTATTTGGCTTTCTCTTTCTGAGTTGTTTTACTTAAGATGACCTCCAGTTTCATCTGCACTGCAGCAAAAAACATGATTTCATGTATTTTTATGGCTGCATAATATTCCACGATATTTATCTACCACGTTTTCTTTATCCATTCACCCATTGATAGACACTTAGTTTGATTCCAAATCTTTTCTATTGTGAATAGTGCTGCAATAAACATATAAGTTGCAGGTTTCTTTTATATAATGATTTATTTTAATTATTTATTTATTTGTTTTCCAGAGACAAGGTCTCTCTCTCTGTTGCCCAGGTTGGAGTACAGGGGCACAATCATAGAATAATAGCTCACTGCAGCCTCCGACTCCTGGGCTCCAGCAGTCCTCCAACCTCAGCCTCCCAAGTAGCTAGGGCTACAAGTGTGCACCACCATGCCCAGTGTATTCGTCCATTTTCATGCAGCTATAACGAAATGCCCAAGACTAGGTAATTTATAAAGGTTAGAAATTTATAAAGAGGTTTAATTTACTCACAGTTCAGCATGGCTGTGGAGGCCTCAGGAAAGTTACAATCATGATGGAAGACAAAGGGGAAGCAAGTCATCTTCTTCACAAGGCAGTGAGAAGGAGAAGTGCCAAGTGAAGAGGGGAAGAGCCCCTTGTAAAACCATCAGATCTCACAAGAACTCACTGTGTAGTGTATCTGTAAACCTAGCTACTCTGGAGGCTGAAGCATAAGAATCACTTGAACCCTGGAGGCAGAGGTTGCAGTGAGCCGAGATCATGCCACTGTACTTCAGCCTGGGTACAGAGCAAGACTGTCTCAAAAAGAAAAGAATAGTTCCAGGCACAGCGGCTCATCCTTGTAATCCCAGCACTTTGGGAGGCCAACGTGGGTAGATCACTTGAGCTCAAAAATTTGAGACCAGCCTCATCTCCAGAAAAACAATATAAAAGTTAGCAGGACTTGGTAGTTTGTGTCTGTGGTCCCAGCTTCTTGGGAGACTGAGGTAGGAGGATGACTTGAGTGCAGGAGATGGAGGTTGCTGTGAACTGAGATTGCACCATTGTAGTCCAGTCTGGGTGACAGGGCTGTGCCCTGTCTCAAAAAGAAAGAGAGGGAAAGAAAGAAAGAAATACAAGAGTGTATTATAACTATTGTAGGGTTGGATATTATTTTGTGAAACTGTTTTGTTTTGTTTTGTTTTGAGACAGAGCCTCGCTCTGTCACCAGGCTGGAGGGCAGTGGCAAGATCTTGGCTTACTGCAACCTCCAACTCCCTGGTTCAGGCGATTCTCCTGCCTCGCCTCCTGAGTAGCTGGGATTACAGGCACACGTCACCACAGCCAGCTAATTTTTGTATTTTTTAATAGAGATGGGATTTCACCATGTTGGCCAGGATGGTCTCAATCTCCTGACCTTGTGATCCGCCCGCCTTGGCCTCCCAAAGTGCTGAGATTACAGGTATGAGCCACCACGATCAGCCTGTTTTGTTTTTGTTTTTAAGAGACAGGGTCTGTAGACTGGGCATGGTGGCTCATACCTGTAATCCCACCACTTTGGGAAATTGAGGTAGGAGGATCACTTGAGCCCCAGATTTCAAGACCAGTTAGGCAACATAGGGAGACCCTGTTTCTACAGAAAAATTTTAAATTAGCTGATTGTTGTGGTACTTGGCTGTGGTTTCCCAGTTACTTGGGAGGCTGAGATAGGAGGATTGCTTGAGTCTGGGAGGTCGAGGGTGCAGTGAGCCGTGATTGCACCACTGCTGCACTCCAGCCTGGGTGAACGATGAGATCTCAATTTTTTTAAAAAAGATTAAATTGCTTAACCTGATTATAAATTATAAATGTCTAGTATGTTATTCTCTACTTTTTAAATACAGCAAAGATAAGCATTTTGGCCTTGAAGCATTTATGTTTTAAATGAAAATATGTTACCGTAAACTGGGATTTTCAACCGGCCAGGTGTCATTTACTGCAATTCAGAGTCTCTCAACCTCCATATTTCTAGAAATGAATTTAGATTGAAGGATGTGCCTCTTAAACTGCTCTGTCCTTTTGGTTTCTTGCTGGCGATTGTCTGCTGATACTTTATAAAGCTAAAAATTTTCTACTCAATTTGTTCCTTATTTGAAATGTTTGTATCAACCTAGGTATAAACTAGATGAATTTGTTTGTAATTATTTTTGTTGTTACTGCTTTTCATTCGCCTATTTTCATCAGAATAAAACAGTGTAGTTTCTGATGAGATTGGCATGAATTTCTCAGACAGAGGAAGATTTAGGGATGATGTCCTTTTGGGAATATGATTGCTTTCTTGCATGGTGATTTGCTTCCACTTCCCAGGTTTTGAGAATAATAGGCAGTCAGAAGGTCTGCATGCCAAAGGCAGAAGACATTTGGGAATTTTTTCACCATGAACTTTAAGTTGAAGGAGTTAATGATTGGCTGGATTACAATATAGAAAGTGGATGTCTTTACAGTAAGTAAGTAGAGCTTGAAATACAAAGAATGGAAACTTCTTCATGAAAATGGTTTTAGGGGAAAAACATTTTTTCTCTTTATGGTTTATTCTGCTCTAGGAAAACACCACCAAGCAAGTGAAACACATAATGTGATTGCATCAGACAAAGCAGCAGAAATGTCAGTTGTCCATGAACATGAGCACAGCCACGACCACACACAGCTACATGCCTACATTGGTGTTTCCCTCGTACTGGGCTTCGTTTTCATGTTGCTGGTGGACCAGATTGGTAACTCCCATGTGCATTCTACTGACGGTGAGTGGCTCCAAGGCTTTCTGGGCAGTGCAATAAATTTGCAGTTTAGAAAATTACAAATGATCAAATATTTCAGTCTGTATCAGTGGCTATATTTAGTGCTAAAACTCTTTGTCTTCTCAGATTCTAGTGAACATTTAACTAAGTGGGGAGAGATACTGAGTTGTGGCATGTGGAACAAGGAAGTATTTAGTGGTTTATTACTTTGCTTGTCTTAAAGCTGTCGCATTTGTTTGAGAGTCTAGGGCAGAAGTTCTTAGTTTTTTGCTGTGGAGCCCTTAGGCAGTCTAAAGACTGTGGACTTTTTATTGGAATATTATTTTTAAATACACAAAACATAGTACATAGGATTACAGAAAAAGCCACCTATGTTGAAATATAGTTACTAAAACAGAACAAATTTGTGATATAGTAAGGTATGTTTTTATCAGTGCATTAAATAATGAAATAATACATTTAAATCCTAAGGAAGTTAGAGTTGAATTTTATTTTCTAGTACATTAGTATGCTAGCTTTTACATAGTACTATGCTTGGCTTAAGAACATTAAATTTTGAGGTAGTCTGTAAGAAGGCAACATGTATGTCAGGTTGAACATCTAGTTGATTTTGAGTTTTTGTTCTGATGGTTACTGGTGTAGAAAATCTTGATTTACAAAGGTATTTTCTTACAAATGTACTTAAACACATTTGTAGCTTGCTTTTTAAGGAATGATAAGCTTCTCTAAAGGACAACTAGAATTCTCCAAGACTTTTCAAATTTAACTCCAGTCATAGTAACTGTTTTGATTTAAAATCAATGAATTCATCTTTGGCTAGGTCAACATTTTTAATATGATTTATATTAATAAAAAGGATTCTGATACATGATACACTTTGATCACCTGGTAATAGAAATAAATTTGGGAGTTATGAAACTTCTCCAAGGATTGATTCATAGATATCTTTTTTCAGATATGTCAGCAGGGAATTTTGCAGACAGGAAGTATTGGAAAGCAGCATAAATATCTTGGTCCCCAATGCGAGAGCCCTGTGACTATCTCTATTTGGTGGCTGAGTGACTGTTAGGTGCGGAGCTGCTTGATAGTTGCCCAGCTCCATCACATAAGCAAGCATCTGCAGACAGGAACGCTGTAATCATGCAATGTGGTAGCAGTTCTGTATGTCTTTAAAGTAGTGATGAGTGAAAACAATAATTTAAAGATATACTACAACCATAAAATTGTCTGATTAGTCTGATTTCTACTGGCAGTAAAGTATAGATAGTGCTGATATTACTTATGATATGACACTAATTATATGATATAATTATGAATGTTTTTTCTACATTTATAATTAAATGAAATGCCGGGCCGGTCACAGTGACAAAGACCTGTAATCCTAGCATTTTGAGAGGCCAAGACGGGTGGCTCTTTTTGAGTTCAGGAGTTTGACACTAGCCTAGGCAACATGGCAAAACCCCATCTCGACAAAAAAATACAAAAATTAGCTGAGCCTGGTGGTGTACAGCTGTAGTCCCCACTACTAGGGGGACTAAGGCGAGAGGAACACTTGAGCCCAGGAAGTTGAGGCTGCAGTGAGCCAAGATCATGCCACTGTACTTCAGCCTGGGTGACAGAGTGAGATCCTGTCTCAAAAATAATAATGATAATAAAAGTAAAGGAAATGCAGCCAGGTGTGGTGGCTCATGCCTATAATCCCAGCACTTTGAGAGGTGGAGGGGAAAGGATCACTTGAGACCTTCAAGTTCAAGACCAGCCTGGGAGATATAGTGAGACCCCATCTCTACAAAAAAATTAATTACCCAGCAATGATGATGCATGCCTGTAGTCCCAGCTACTCAGGAGGCTTAGGTGGGAAGATCACTTGAGCCCAGGAGTTTAAGGCTACATTGAGCCATGAACCTCATGAACTGGTCATTCAGTTCAGCCTGAACAAGAGAACAAGATCCATCTCAAAAAAAAGAAAGATAAAGGAAATGCTAAATTTCAGTTAGAGGTTAGTAAAAAATAAAAACACATTTTTTTTCAAGTTAAAGTCACAGACATCCTCTGAATTCTACCTGTTTTCACCTCTGTAGACCCCAGGCTAAGAATCTCTGGTCAATAGAAAAATCTGTAGAAAAGCAGGCAAAAGACACAAACAGACAATCACAATAAGATATTAAAATTGCCCTTAAACATATGAAAAGATGTTCGGTTTCATTTGAATGCAAATCAAAGCTATGCTGAGATACCATTTCTTACCTGTCAGGCAAAACTTCAGAAGCTTAGCAATACAACCGATTGGCAAAGCTATGATAGAATAGGCACTCATACTGTGGGTGGCAATGCAAAATGATACAATACCTATGGAGAGAAATTTGACACTATCTAACAAAACTACATGTATTTACCCTTTGACCAAAAATCCCACTTCTAGGGATTTTCTTGAATACAGCTCCAATATGAAAATACATATGCACAAGATTATTCAATGCAGCATTATTTATCATTGGAAAATACTTAAATGTCATGGAGATTGGCTGAATGAACTATGGTATGTAACATAATGGAGTACCATGTAGCTGTAGAAAAGAATAAAGATTCAGGCAGGGTGCAGTGGCTCACCCTTTAATCCCAGCATTTTGAGAGACTGAGGTAGGATGATTACTTGAAACTGGAGTTCAAGGCTGCAGTGAGCTATGATTGCGTAACTGCACTCCAGCTTGGGTGACAGTACGAAACCCTGTTGCTCTAAAAAAAAAATAAAAGAATAAAGATTGAGATATCTGTGAATTAATAGGGAGAGATTTCCAGGAGATATTGTTAAATGAAAAAAAAAGCAAAAAATATAATGATCATTACCATATACTATGTTTTATATAAGAAGGAAGGGGAAATAAGAAAAACATACAGTTGACCCTTGAACATTATGGGTTTGAACTATGTGGATCCATTTATACACAGATTTTCTTTCAGTAAAAGTTACACCAAGTGTCCCTGCCTCTCCTACCTCCCCTTCCTTCACCTCATCCACCTCTGCCACCCCTGAAACAGCAAGACCGACCCCTTCTCTTCCTCCTCTCACTCCTCCTCCTCCTCCTCAGCCTACTCAGTGTGAAGATGATGAGGATGAAGACCTTTATGATGATCCACTTCCACTTAATAGTAAATATATTTTCTCTTTCTTACAATTTTTAAATAACATTTTCTTTTATCTAGCTTACTTTATTGTAAAAATACAGTATTACTACATATAACAAATAAAATACGTGTTAATCGACTTTGTTATCATTAAGACCTCTGATCAACAGTAGGCTATTAGCAGTTAAGTTTTTGCAGAGGCAGAAGTTCTATGTGGATTTTTGACTGTGTAGGGGGTCAACACTCCAGCCTCTACATGTTCAGTGATCAACTGTATCTACTTATCTTTACAAAAAAGAAACATAAGAAGAACTGGCTAGAAAACAAAAGACATTTATTAACTGCATGGGGTGGGGTGGAGGATATGAGAGGGCAGAAGAGTTTTGGGAGCACATGATATTTCCCTGAGCATGCCTTTTTGGTATAGTTCTGACTTTTGGAAACGTGAATATTCTACATATTCAAAAAATAGAATGAAACCAATAAGGATGGGAGCACTAATGGAAACAGATGAATTGTATTTCAAATCACACTGAAGGGATTAAAAAAAGCTAATTCAAGCAAATTATGAATATAGCATTTGACTATACATGTTTAGTCTTAGGTGGAGCTGGGAGAGAAACTGTAAACACATACTGAACTTGTTGTCGTTGTTGTTTTGTAATGGAATGGGCAAAACAGTACTGAAGCTGCTTTAGATGTTTTATAGGATTGAGTAAATGGGTCCACATGTTAACGTTGGTGGACCCAGGGTTCTAAGTGTAGAAGAAGGAACACACAAGTACAGAGTGAGGAAGGCAAGAAAGAACCCCTATAGGGATGGATTGGAATTGGAGGTATTGGACTCGTGATTTCTAAATATATTTGTTTATGTATATATATTTGTATACACATATATGTACATATATATATATACATGCTAGCTCTGTCTGCAGATGGGGCCTAGAAATAAAGACATCCCACTAGCATGAGCATGCCAAGACTCTTCAGAGAAGAATCAGGGCTGATTCCCGGAGAGGGGCAGGGTAAGAACAAGTGAGCTTGGAACATCTAGTACTGAAAAAAACAAAGGAAGAAGGTGGGAGCATGTCACAGGATGTAGGAACCCTCTTAAAAGGGTTCCCACCAGCCACATCTGGGATAAGTTGAGCACCAACATAATTAAGAACAGTAATAAAGCATAAACCATTAAAAAAAAATGGCAATCCGGTTGGGCGCAGTGGCTCATGCATGTAATCCCAGCACTTTGGCAGGCTGAGGCAGGTGGATCACTTAAGGTCAGGAGTTTGAGACCAGCCTGGGCAACATGGTGAAACCCTATCTCTAACAAAAATTAGCTGGGTATAGTGGCACACACCTGTAATCCTAACTGCTGGGGGCTTAGGCAGGAGAATTGCTTGAACCTGGGAGGCGGAGGTTGCAGTGAGTTGAGACTGTGCCATTGCACTCCAGCCTGGGAGACAAGAACGAAACTCCGTCTCAAAAAGAAAAAGATAAAATGAGAATTCATGAACCCATTTGTGGGGTGGGTGTGTGTGTGTGCGTGTGTAGAGAAAAAGAGAGAGAGGGAGAGAAGAAGAGAGGGCACTTGCTCCTAGAATGCTTAATGCCAGTTGTTAAATATAGAGAGAGTGCTGGAGTTGGAAAAATACTCATTTTTTTCAAGCCTCAGTAAAGGTTGACTCAGGCGTGTATCATCAATGAATGTTAAATATAGGGGGCAAATTTTTATTTCCTTATCGACTTCAAGGGGAAAGAAGTAACTAAATGAAGAAATCAGATGACACCTTGATCAGATAGTCAAAATTAAGGTCACCAGCATTCTGCTTTTGTTATGACCAGGTAAGCTCTCAGATCAGCTTCCTCATAGGTAACTA